ATTGTGGCACCGTACGTACACCCACGGGGGAACGGAGCGTCGTCGTTAACCGAATCATTCGGTCACATGCCACGGGGTTGCCGACCCACAGAAGCGAGTCCCCTTCTTCACGCCCTCGTGCACGCACGACGACACACGCCGCCTCGTTGACTTGTCCCTGTACGAAACGCAGGTGGTTGAAAGAGGGGTGTCTTGCTGATATATACAAAATGCATGCTGATATCTTATTAGGAAAACGATACGGCGTAACGCGAGAACGAGTTGCACTGTCTAAAACTCAATCAGTGAATTGTCACTGATTTGCAGTTATATAAGTATATACCACTGAAAATCGCAGTGGTGTAGCTGTAAATCACTGACTGTTCACTGTTTTCAGTGACAATTTACTGATTGATTTTTAGAGAGCATATTTGCCTCAGGTTAAAGCCAACGGTACACGATACTATTTTTCTTGCTGGATTGCTTACGAGAGCCAATCAAGATTTAGCCTTAAGTCACCTGATGTAAAACTCTGCATCCTGATTGGCTCTCGTAAGCAATCTAGTAGGAAAAATAGTATTGTGTACCGTTGGTGAGATAGTGATGAGAAAATGATTGAATGATGGGGACTGACGATATAAATAACAATACATAAGAATCGAGCTAAAAATCCGAGTTTTTGAAAATGGGGTAAAAAATTAAGTGAAAAGCCAATATTCTTGGATAAAAAACTGTCTTTCGGTAATTTTGAAAGATCGATTGATCGGTACTTTTTGGTATTCTTTATTTTTAAAGTTTTATGATGGCTGAGAAAACTCTCGAGCATAGGCGGTTGCTATTTTGTTACCTCGCGGATCAACGGTGAGAATAACAGAACATGAAGGTCTAAATTTGTCGCTGATTTTTCAAAGCCGTGCTTCAAAGGTTAATTAATGAGCGTCAGATTTAGATTTTTACTGTACATTTTTGAAACTAGACACTCTGAGTAATTAATGAGATAGAAAACCCATTTTTCGGGAGGATTAAGAAATATATTAATAAATTTAAAAAAACTCGATCCCTAAAGGTGGGTTTCTTATCCTATTAATTACTCAGAACGTTCCCAACTTCAAACATTTATAGCACAAATCTAATTTTGATGCTTTGAAGCATTTTCAAAGGGTCTCTATTTATTTTTTACTACTCTTTTAATTTCTACGTAAGAAAAGAGTAAATGAACTCTGTGAAATGTTCTTTCGTGATTTACTTGTTCAGAATTTTTGCTACACAGTGCATGTGATACAATTTTTTCGAAAGATGCTACGTAATTTTTTAAAGCAATGAGGCGTTGCCGCGCCTGCGGGTTGCCGGTGAGAACCTATGCAGTTTTTCTTACGGTATTTATCCACGCACGATCGGATTCCGCGGTTAGGGCGAAACCGAAACACCGCCTCGAAGCGATATCCATTGGTGTACGGCGGGGAGCAATTGCGCTCGAAGGAAAGATAATTCGGTCGATTTCGCGCATCCGGTCGCGCGTTGATTGATCGTTTTCGCGATAATTAACGGCGCACCCAGGACTCATTAAGTCCTTCTGACTGAGCGCAATGCTGATTTTGCCATTCTCTCGATGCAGCTCGTTGGTTCGGACATTTTCGCAAACAATTGCCACAAACATTGTACGAAGATAATTTTCATAGACAAACTTAATTGCCGGACATTCCGGCAATCAGTCATGATTTATTACGAGACCGGGTATTTTCGAACAATCGTTCAAGTCCTTCGAAACCATTGAAAGGAGTCATTAATTTCTATTGACACTCAAATGAGTTATTAATGATACGAGCGTTGTGGCGTTACTCTTAATAGAAATCGTATATTCGAACACGGATCTGCCTCGCCGATCGGTACCGGGGACGATTCATCATTCGATTCGGCGAATCTCCAAATCGTTCGGTTATGCATACGACTTCGCGGACTGCGAACGAGAACATATTTAATCGTTTCTTTGATTAGCGAGCCGGTTCTTCGGGCTCGCGCGACACTTTCGGGACATTGCGTTTAATTGAGGGCGTCGTCCCGATTTTACGAGGCGGCACTGACGAACGAGTTAAAAGGCCTCGTCGGTGTGCGATTCATTCCCGACTGAAGCGTAATTTCCGTGCGCGTTTTCGCATAACGAGCATTTCGAAAATTCAATGCGGTTGAACTTCTTGAAAGATATGCGAACCGTTGTACGCGCGTATCTTTGTTTTACGAGGTTGTTTTACTTGCCATCGAGGAAATAATTGAGAGAGCTCATCTTTATACCATTAATCCACGCTCCCGCAATTATTTGCTTCTCGCGAGAGGGATATTTCTCCGCGTCTCGCTCATTATACCGCACAAAGCTGAGCGCGTGTGCCTGCATATTCATATACAATCATTTCTTTGTTGTGTAAAACAAATCGCGTAGGGCCACGCACTCTGCCTTTTACCCGCCGGAAAAGAAATAAGATTATTTTCGCACCTTTGTTCTCTGCTTTCGGTACGTTTCTCCCTCGTTTCACACGTTCTTTGGCCGCAGGCTGATTCTAATATAATATATATGCAGATGCAAGATCTATCTCGATTTCACATACATCGCGGTTTTCCTCTGTCAAGCTTGCAACGCTTCAAATTAGAATGCGCTCGAGTATGTGGCACTCTAAAAAAATGCTAGCACTCTTTTGTTCAGACGTCGTAAACGACTGTCGTTCAGTTCGGTCGCGCTAATATCTCCGCGAACGTAGGGAGTTGCCATCCCGTCGCTCAGCGTATTCCTGTTCGTAACGTCGCTAGTTTCATAAATTCGCGATTCATTGTGCCAGCACGATCGCCATTTTTGCTTCTGTCCTATTGCCTCTCGCTTCCTCAAGATATCGAATACTTTAGAGAGTACTCTTTAAAAGTCAATTAGTGCATCATCACTGACATCGGTTACATACTTGTAACTGAGGAATTCAGTGCTATATTTATAACTGTGAGTCAATGAATATTCACTGTTTTCAGTGACAATCCACTGATTGTCTTTAAGGCCCGGTTTCACCAACGTCGCTTAACTTTAAGCTTAGCTTAATTCGTTGTTTGTTTCTTTTCCACTGTTACTTTGGAAAGGGACATGAATTGAACTAAGATCGAGCCCTAGAGAGCGGAAAGTATGAATTAAACTAAGATGAAAAGTTAAACGACGTTGGTGAAAATCGGAGTAAGAAGCACTTCCCATCGTATTAGATCGCGAAGAGCGGTTCGGTTGTACAAGGGTGGAACGCACCGAGCGCCGATCGCACGGTGCGAACACCGTTCGGGCTCACGCAGGAGATAGGATCTCGCGCATACGGGAACAGGCAGCGTCCTCGGCCTCGGTCTCAGTCTCGGGCTCCCTCCAGGCGTAAGCCGGCTACGCCATTAAGCTGGAATTCAGGTGTATTAACGATGCTGGAGCCTGGACCGCGCGCGGCAGGTACGTAGCGACCACCCGTGGCCACCCGGTAGCACACTAATGGCAACGCTACGGCGGAACCGTTCGTTAGAGAGATTTTATTTCGCCTATCTTACGCGCTCGCGCACCGAGCAACACGACGTTTACCGTCGTCGGCGGGGCGCACGGTGGGAAAGGGTTACGGGGCGCAATTGTAAGGACGATTGCGTCGCGCTCGTACTCACGGGACGTTACCCTGATTGCCGCGGCCTCGACGAGGTCGACTGATTGCGAGAGGCTTTCGCGGTGCTCCGCGATATTTCACAAAGTGCCCCCGAGATCACATTGCCGTTCCATTAATTACTATATTAATTACTGTGCTTTCCTCATGCGGAAATAGGACATTGGGAGTCGGGCGGGGATGTTAATTCGACTGCTACAACTTCGGCGGTCCGTTGAAATTAAACGAGAGGTTTTAAGAAATCACGCGCGACCCGTTGTGTACTCTTAATTATTATGTTAATTTTTAACTCCAATCGGTTTGACGATGTGCGAAAAACTCTACGTCTCCACACGACTCTGTTCATTTGTACACCTCTCGCGGGACAAATTGCCCAGGCGGAAATCGAGCGGCGATGCGACTAATCCTGCGGGAGTATAAGCAGGCTGCGTCGAGCCTTTGTGCTCTTATTTGAACGCGAGGCTAAGCGGCATCGTCGTTATCGAGAAATTCCAGCGTAGGTTCCACAGGTGTTACGCGCAAATAAATGAAGGCGCGTGCATTCATTGAATTATTTATTTCTCCGTCGTAAAAAGAAGTCTCTATCTCCGATGGAATATCCTCGCGATGATATATTATCCTCGTTAATGCTGAGATGTAAAATTATTTTATTTTTAGCTTGCACTGATTAATACTAATAACGTAAGATTTATGTTGGAGTCGTAATACTAGGAATCTAGTTAACATTTTACTAACTCGCTTGCAATCACGTCTATCGCAAATGCATTCACGCGAGTTAAGATTTTAGTAAGAATTGAAATATTTAGAATACTTGTAACTGTTATGCCGCTGACTAGGCCAGGACATGGGTAGTCGGGATCGTTGCCAGGAGCACAAATGCGCGGTGTCGAAAGGCCATATGCCAATATATTAATCAAAACCTTTTATTAAAAATCTACATAAATACGTACACTCGTATAGTTCACTTAAGATTGACCCGCCCCTTCCTTCCTTTCCATTCCTTTTTATATCAATCGCGCTTGGCCCTGTTGTCAGGCCACTTATTGTTTAGTAAGCAGTTGTTCCGTTAGCAACTGTATTGCGCGGCTTCGATGGATTCGTACTTTGCTCCGGATACTCGTTTTCGGCAGTTATCTGATACCTTGCCGCGTGCGAAGTCGTCGTCTGATGTGCGGTATATCGCAGGTTCGACGATACTCGGCCGGCAGTTGCATAGCGAGAGTCGTGCAGCATGTCGTGCCAAGAAGTATGTTAATGGCCGAGTACGTTTGTACAACAAGGTGAAATTATATAACTTTCACCTAACTTATAAAGACTTATACGAGATTGCCATTACACTCGTATTTTTATTGCGTGTTTCAGGTGGTTCTGCCACTTCGACGACGATAATTACGTGAACGTGCCGCGCCTACTGAAGCTTCTGGACAATTACAACCCACGGGAGGACTGGTATCTCGGCAAGCCCTCGATACCTGCGCCCTTGGAGATCACCAGGCAGGGCCCGGAGCCGCAGAAACGACCGGTGAATATAGATTAAATACGCTTTCTTCTTTCTCGTACTTTCCGTTCGTTTTTTCGATATACTTCTGCGTGGATTTGCCGTCGAAAAAAGTCTCCCCAAAGACGGCAAGTAATAACGTGTAAGCACTGCACAGTATAAATCAAATTACCCGCGGGATTGACTGATCCAATAATCCTTGGGACACGTAACGTACTTGCGTTTTTACGAGATACATCGGCAGTGAATAATTGAAAAAAGAAAAGGTCAAAGATAGTCTAAGAAAACGTACAACGGGAAGTCGAAGATTTCAACCGAGTAACACGAGCTAAGATTCGTTTTTACATTTTATTCTGAAAAAGTTATGAATATCTCTTCTTAGCAAATCATTATTTTGAATCATATAATACAGAGGATAATTGGCGTACGAATTATCTAATCTTATCATTTTCTTGCAACTTTAGGATTTGTTGCCTTGAATTAGCTTATCTCGCGGACAGTTTTTTTTTTATCACTTAATATTCGAAAATTGGGACGCGTCTAAGATTAGCCACCCATCCGTTCAACCATATAACGTATTTCGAGGGACCACCTACTTCGATTTACCTAGATTTACTTATACTCTATGGATCGTGCGACCTATAATTACACCCTTCTCCGAAAGCCAACTTATTATCGCCCCTCGCGGCCGGTCAACCGAAGGAAATTGTCCCTCAGGATTTATTTAGCGCCGTAATAGCTCAACAGTAGCAATTTGACGCAATGACAGTAACGAGCGCTGCACAGACACGGCTTCGCCGTCCAGCGCGTCGCGAACGTGAAATTCGTCCGACCACCTTTGAAGCTTCCGGCGGATCTCGATGAAATTAAACCCGCCGGAGGAAAAAGAAGCCGAGAGGTGCTCTCAGATGAAAGAAGGGAAGCGAAGGGAAGCGAAGGGAAGCGAGGGGCAAAAGGGAGGGAGGCAAGATTATTCGCGAGATTTTCCCTCTTCTCTCCTTCTCCTCTCCTTACCTCACGGTCTTTACGCGAGAAGCGTTACCGTACCGCGACGTCACTAACGGCCGGTCTCATCGAATTTATGCATCCGCGAGGCGGCGGCTTCCGGCAAAGTCGAGCGTGCATATGTCTTGGGTTTAAAGTGAAATAAGGATCGCTCCGTTTTGCGAGCAGTTCGTTCGACTGTGGAGGCAAAGAATATCGCGCGAAGAAAATGCGCGATAGCGTCTATTCTTTTTAATGCTCCCCGGCGGCGCCGCGAGCTTCATGCTATTATCTCGCACCTTGCGTATATATATATATACATATATATATATATCTTATCCCCGTGCGAGTGCATGATAGGTTTTTATGGGTGGATCTCGTCTCGAGCTCGCGCCCGTGAAATTCCGATTTTCCTCCGCGGGAGATGCAGTCGTTGCGACCGCGGGCGGTTCACCGTCTTCTCGGATATTCAATCTACGACACTTTTTGCGCGCACCAATGCGCGTATCTCCGCAAAATTGCTCCCGGAGATTCGGCATGTGAGACGTTCTATTCTTCTATCGGGAGTTTATAAGCAGTGACCGGAAAAGACGTCGCGGACGTCGAGCTTTTGAATAAGTAGCGATGAAACTCGGCTACAGCTTAAAAACACAATAAAGTTGTATTGAATTTTTAATTTTATTACACTTTTCTATTATACTGGGTGTTATGTAATACGCGCCTCATCTTTTATTTACGAGTAGAGCGGACTGGACTGAGTCGAAAAGTCCTCTACCATTTTGCAATTTTCGCAATACTTTACATATTATTAATTATTAGTTTATTATACGTAGCCGTTACCGTGTGTCATAAACAACTGCCCACGCGCCTAGCAACACCAATCGCGGGACGGCCGCATCTCGCCGCGCGTTCGAATTGGGCGGCAGGCCGGGCTAAGACAGCGATTTTTAATAATTAATAACTCGTTAACTATTGCGAAAATTGCAAAATGGTAGAGGTCTTTTCGACTCGGTCTAGTCCGCTCTATCCGTAAATAAGAGGCGGGTATTACATAATACCCTGTATATTTTTGATTATACATTTTCATATTATAGCAGTCTTCCCTTCTTTACTTTCGAAATTGCGATTCTGCAAACGTTTCTTTCTTCTTGGAAATTCCTGAGAATTCTAAATCGCGCGTCTACAAACTGTCTCATGAGACGATAGCCGTTGTAAACTGATGAATTATGAATTGCGAATAATTTGTCTCGATCTTGAAATTATATTATGAATTTTAAATCACCCGAAAGATGAATATATTTGCGAGAGGGAGCGAGGTATAGAGCGTCTTTTCAAGGCGCGGCGAGCGAAGAAACCCGCCCGTGCACAATCACGAATCGATAAAAGCCCGTCTCACGTGCTGCTTTAGGAGATACACGATGCGATTCGGATGTCGTCGATATGATCGCCGGCGCTCGGCAGCCGACAGTTAAAGGAAGCCCGCGATCTTATCACGACGCGGTGTCATGCTATGAGGCCATTAATCCTTTTTCTTCTGCCGAGACGAGAAATGAAAAAGGAGATCCGTCGTCGTCGCCGACGGTCGCTCACGGTCGAGAGGACAGATCGATTTTATACCCCGAAAAAAAATAATAAATTCCAGTACACGCGCGTCACTCGCTTTAGAAATTGATAACCGCTTTTAATTCGCTCGCGTTGGGAATTTTAAAAAATATACCTCTTTGCTTTTTTTGCGCCACTTTCGCGATACACGCGCGTCGAATCAATTTTTAAACCGATCGGTTTTTACGCTCGCGGGATTTGCATCCCGCGGCGGAAAGTTGGACGAGGTGCGAATTGGAAAAGCTGCTGCTCGCGCGCTTCTTCTTTCATCGCGGGGAGAAAAAGGCACGAGGTCGCCGGGGGGGAAAATAGATAAAGACGAGTGGGATTCGTGGTGCTCTCGAGATGAAACGATAAATCTTGCAAAGCCCGTAGGATCCGTTCTTCCTTCTGAGATTAACCGCTTCTTATAAGGTCCGATCGAAGCCATTCATCAAGCGCCTTTCTTGATATCTCTTTCCCTGATTTCTCTCCGCCGCTCGTTAAAGTCTAATCATAGTACGGATTCTGATTCTGTCCTTTTTCTGCTATCCATGAACTTGGCGCGATCCATGATTGCCAATAACCGATCGGACCTTTCACTACCGAACAGACTACCGTACTCGTAGAGATTGGGCAGGTAGAGCAAACGAACGAGATTTAGCTTTCTGATTTATCGAGTAGTTTGTTTATTCAGAAATGTGCTGTATTGCGGTGTATTTCAGAAATTTTTTCTTATTCAAAATCCTAAATAGAGATAACATCCTAGACTTTGGTATAATATTTTGACAGATTGGAAGTATTTTCAGAGGAAAACAAGTCGTTTACGCTTAATTTCTGTACATATAATATGAAATTTTTCAATTGTTAAACTTTGAATTAAATTCTACAAAAGTAAAGTACATTTCAAGCGAATAGTAATTTATGTTTGGATATTGAAGTTTGCTTGTGAAACAAATATTGATTTGTAAAGACTCCTGTTCTCATTACGGGCCGGCTTCATCAACGTAGTTTAATTTCAGCTTAATTCATCTTTTATCTCTTTCCAACCGCTCTCGCCCTTGGAAAGAGACAAACAATGAATTAAACTGAGATTAAAGTTAAACGACGCTGGTGAAACTGGGCATAAAAGGTCAAAATATACGAGTCAAAAATTTTTAGTTTTTTTTCCAAATTGAGAGCAATTAACGCGAGAAATATTGCAAGAATTATTGATTCATAGAAAGAAGAACGGACGTACAAATTTAATGCGGGCGTTCGCGGAAAATCTCTTGCACGCTTATCCGGCCGTCGCAGGGCATTTTTCACACCATTATTTCACGCGGGACTGTCGTCGTGAGATCCGGTCCGACAACTACCACGGGGCCGATGCCAGTCATACGGTGAACTCATTATCGGCCAGCGAAAGATACACGAAACACGATTGATCGCAGTGTATGTGCACGTTGGTGTATCGATCGTCGCGTGGTAACCCATTTAAGGTGATGCGGCGTTCATGCGGAATTTAAATTGGTCGATACCCTCTGACACATTCCCCTGATAGCGTTTTTAATGCATTAAGCCAACAAAACTAGCGTTAAACACAAGACTGTCTTAAGTGGAAAAAAATCTGGTGAGATGATTGAGACGTGATAAGCTAACCGTTGCTTCGACAAACGTGAAACGCGGAATCCCTAAGGATAATTCATAATGCCTGAATTACCTTATTAAATTCTATAACGCCGTGAATGTTGTACGAAAGTGGAGCAATTCATGATGAAAGATTTTATGCGTCATGAAAAGAATGTAGATCTCTCCCGTTCCGTTTTAATCTGATCTTATGTAAAATAAATCTCGGCTGGGGCATACATTACGCAGGATTTACGTAAGGTGACAGGCTCGGAGATCAGTGCTCCGATCGTTTTATTCCAGTTTTATTACGCGGCTATTTGGCACAGTGCGTTTCTGCACGGTGAATGGACATTGTTCGCTTCCATGCGGTTTGTATAAAAGAGTTCTGACTCGATCTCGGACGTTTTTCTGCCCTCTACGTGGTCCTCTTTCTTCGCGGTCCTCTTCATTCAGCCTTCTTACGATCTGGTCGGACCAGTATCGTGTGCACGAAACCTCTTGAAAGTCGATCGACCGCGGTTCCTGTGAGCACAAGTATCGATAACACGCATGCCAACCCGTTTAAGCCCGTTTTTTTTGGGCTTATACCAAAATCATTTTTATGCGAATGACGTCCGTCGCCGTGATACGAATTATAATAAAATAAAAATCGTGCTCGATCACTTCCTCCCCGCACCGGACACGATCTGCGATCCGCCCTTTAATTAAGCGAAGAAACTTTGCTTCTTTATCTGTAGTCATTTCATAAAAAAGATAATTTGCGTACAAGAAGATGGTTGCCGGACTACTTGACTCAAAAAGACGGTCGTTACTTGCGCTGTAAATCCTCTTCTTAATATTCGCAAATGTAGACGATTCATTAATTTGTCGCGTTTCAGAAAGTCAGCGCTGAAACTTTTTATTTTGCTATGCCTGCTGTTCGGCGAGAATACATTTAGTTTTCGTCAGATTTTTCGGCCGCCCTCTCGCAGGATTAAACTATTCTTAACTGACATATTTGAACTTGCCACAACCTGGTGCAGTAAAAACTTAAACAATTATATCAATAATTCCTATCCTCCTCTCTCGCATTAAATATAATTGACTTGGGTCCGGTTTCACCAACGTCGCTTAACTTCAATTAGCTTTGTCTCCTTCCAACTGTTACTCTAGAAAGAGACAAACGTGAATTAAACTAAGATTAAAGTTAAGCGACGTTTGGTGAAACCGGACCTAACTCTATTGAGATAAGAGTAACACATATGTAAATTAAACAGGTTTGCGTCTGGCATAAATCTCTCGATATTATAACATTTTATTCTAGATTACAAAATTTTTGAAGATTAAAATATACCCCTTTCTCAATAATAAATATCGACTGATCTCTCTCGCAAGGTCGTGTCTCGATTTTACGCAATTTTCGGTTTTTCTGCTTTAAACGCTCATTCTGGTCCAGAATGAATGTTTAGGCAGAAAAAGAGAAAATCGAGATACGACCTCGCGAAAGAGATCAGCCGATATGTCGATCCTATCTTATGATAGATCCAAGTTTAACAGCCTTGGACCCGGAAATCTTTTCTGTGGGCGCGGTCGCGATTTCGGTCACGTTGCGGCGTCGTGTGCCCCTTTGCGCGCGGATGCGGCCGCGTCCGCATCCTTGTTCTTATCTCGGGCGCGAATCGCGATTCATGGCGCGACATGGGCCCGCAGTGGGATCTCCGCTCGCATGTACGGCGTAATACCTACGGTGTAATACACACACGGCGGGTGAAAGGTGGTTACGCGTCCGCCGGCCGAGGCGGAGAGTACTTGAATCCGTTGCCGTCGTACGCTGGCCGTCTTCGTGCCGGCTTCGTTCCTCCGTCGTGGTCGAGTCGCCTCTCCCGGCCGACCCCCCATGGGTGTGGTACCATCTTCCGAGCGAGATTATGGTCTCCGCCGTGGACGTTGCTCCCCGCAGGCTTCGCGTACTCGTATATTATATTTGCCCGAGAAATCCCTCCGACTCGCTCGGCGCGCACGTGTGTGCGCGCGCCCGGCAAGAATCGGCTCGTTACTGCCCCGGCAACTGGAGCGGTCCGCGACGCTCCTTCTCGCGAACAATATTGCATCTAAAAGATACGCCCGCGATTAATGGGAGGCAAGGATACGCGGTAACATCTCTGACAGACGGCGTTTTGTTGCGATTCTTTTTTGCGTCGGGGCAAAATTTTCGGACACCCTGTAGCGTGGCGTAATACACATTTCGAGACCCGCCATCAACCGCAGGAAGCCGAGTTTCTTCGCTAAGGCGTGCTGCGTCGTTAAAGTTTTTGCAGTTTTTTTTTCCAAGAATTTTCGACGAGCTAGCCGATTTTTAAGTGGATCACCAAGCGAGTTTGCCGTTCAACGCGTTACACGCGTAAGTCACTTCAATCGATTTAACGCACGTTGAATCTCTCAATAATGGAAGTATTAGATTCGATAAAGGTGGGTAGTGCGACGCGAATTGTGTTGCGTTTCTTGAGGAAATTATTTCCTTAATATGTTAGGCTCAAAACCTTTCAACCCACCCTCGTATTCCAGTAAATAGCTTTTAGTTAGACTCCTAAACTTAATTCTAGTGATGCCACGCTGTTCTCTGATTTAGTCCGAAGAGTGGAACACTGTCGGTACACAAAAGCCACATAATCTGTACATTACTGAAATGTTTTTATGAATTAACAGTCTAGGTGCAAAAGGTGCAGAATCACTCCAGCATTCCCTTAATAACGTGATATTCGCTCAACGTATCGGCTCACGTGAGACGGTATTCGCTTCCGAATGCGTTCGCGTTGCGGAAAGTCGGCGGTCGGGCACAATTAACGTCCGCGGATTGACGAATGGTCAAGGCTCGCGGTATACGGTCGATCCGTAAAAGCGTGAGAGCGTGGCAACTAGATGCACGCTGTTTGCCGAAGGGATAATTAACTCTGCTGAGTGGCCCGCGGGGCGCGTACGCGCGGATCGTTACGTGCGGATTTCTTTCGGTGGCCTGGGTGGTGCCACGATGATGCAACTGGTTAACGCGCGGTGCAACCGTTGCAGCTCGTCGGGTGAAAGGTGCTCCCGCCCGTGGATAAACGGGCATGTACGTGTACTCCTCGAATTGATAGGCAAAGTAGAGCTAGGCGGCAACGCGAACGGGTTCTCGCCGTTGCTTGTAGGTCAATGCCGGAGGATAATTTGCTAATCGCACGTTGCCTCACCGCTTCGCGCGTGCGATAATCCCTCGGGGGGTTAGCGACCCATATCGGTGCCGAATCCGTCGTCTGGTGATTTTACGGGGGTTTTGGTACTATTCTGACACTTTTAAGGATAATTTACACCTACATAGGTCAGCAATAATCTACTTTGATGACATTGTATTTTTCTGCCTTGAATCTTTAATTCTAAAAATTTACTTTAGCTCCTATTTAAAAGGACCTACTTTAATGCTAAATTGGCAAAAGTAGAAATTTTCTACACTATCAGTTTTAAAGTAGGAGCAAATTTTGTACTTGCAGTTCGACCTCTTTACTGTCTTAGGTCCTACTATATAATAGAACTAAAGATTTCAACACAGGGCCAAAATTTCGACTCGGAAAAATACTTTATTAATCACACACTTTTCGACTAACTTTGTCTCTCGAGGGTAAATTCTATTTTACACCCCGTCAGTCTCCGTGTTCTTGTTAGATGCAATTAACATATAATTATATTTTATTTTTTAATGTTTGCCCTTTCCTTCGCTCTCTATGTTTCACCCTCATTTGCGTTGAGAAATAAATATCGAAGAAAGTTTCGCGTTTCAATAGTTACTCATAATCTTGCTTTTCGGCTTTCGGATTAGGGGAACCTGGGGCATAACGGAACGGCGGGGCATAATGGGATATGATCTATAACTTTTTACAGAAGTGCTGTTATGTATTGAAATATTTTGCAATTATTGCTATTAGATGATCCTTATCGCATGCTGTTATCAGTTGTCATGTTATTTTTAACTGAAAAATGCTATAAATTTTTTAATGCGTTCGCTGCACTCTCCGTGACTCGCTTATAATTTCGTTGATAGATCAGCATGAGGTAACAATGATAAAATTCTATTTTTTATTACCATAAGTAATTTTACGCTATTAAACAATCTTTTCTAGTCCACTTTAGTAAAGTATTTCTGCACAGATATTGATTATCAATAATATTTTGTATTTATTTAGTGTAAAGGTACATTTGGGAGCATAACGGGACATTAGGCCGTGGGGCATAATGGTACAATAGGTGCGCGCAGC